ATGCCTTTTGATTTACAGAAAGCAAAAACGGATTAAGTGAAATGTTCTTGGCTGAGTGTTCAGACGCTTTAATCTGTTTCAGTCTCAATAAACACGCACAATAAATTACTCAGTGGCCAAACTTTACAAAGAAACCCACATGTTATCTATTTTCTTTACTGTTGGTAGTGCTTAAAGCTAATCTGCCACATGGTTTGACATCACACAGTCGTCCAGGATACCACAACACACTTAAATACAGAGGGTTTTGTATGTGTGTGTGTGTGTGCCGTCCATATGCAGCAGCTACAGCAGAAGCACAGTGACACCATGGACTGGGAACAGGTGGGAAGGGATTGGTTGACAGATGCCTCATTTTCTTCTTCTGCTTTTGTGTTATTTTGTTTTTCCGCAGAGTGATCAAAAGCAAAAACCCAGCGTTTCCCGTGGGAAGCCATGTTGTTGGTCGTTGCGGCTGGAGAACCCACACAGTCTGTGGCGCAACGGACCTCATTCCCCTCATTCCCGACTGGCCTCAAGACGTCTCGTTGTCTCTGGCTCTGGGTACCATCGGCATGCCAGGGTAAGACAGATGTTGAAACTGTGAAAAACAATTCATTTTCAAATATTGTCACAATTTATGGACATAAGGCTGTCTGAGCTGCATCATAAGGGCAAAACAAATGCAGGAAAAAAAAGGCTCTCTAAGTGAAAGTTAAAAATGCGAGACGTGACCCCTTTAAAGGACCCGTTTGGAGGATTTAGTGGCGTCTAGCGGTGTAATTGCAGATCACGACTTCCTCGCTTCACCCTCTCCTTCCAAGCTCGCAGGAGAAACTCCAGTGGCCACGAAATGCATGAAAAACGTGAACTCCCCTATCTAGAGCCAGTGTTTAGTTTGTTCCTTCTGGGCTACTGCAGAAAGAGTTCAACGTCCATGAAAGGCAACCCGCCGCATCTGTAGATAAAACAGGCTCATTCTAAGGTAACTAAAACACAACAATTCCAATATTCAGGTGATTATACACTGAAGAAAACATACCTATGAATATTATATTCCATTCCTGTCCATACAGCCTCCTAAATGTCACACTGGACCTTTTTATTTAAAGAAAGAAAGGAAGTTAACTACAAGTGTAAATAGCAGCGGGCTACTCCCATGTGAGAACTATTGTTCAGATTAAGAATATCTAACCTTCCCTGAGTAAATGTTAGATAAGACAGTGAATTTCCCTGCTTACGTTTGTGGCCGATAAAACAGAGAGAGAGAGAGTTGTTTAGCTTAGCAGAGCAGCTGAGTTTTGTCTGTCTTTGAGAAAATAAACAGGCAAGGCTCCAGATGTTTTGTCCTGCTGGTGATAACCTTGCTATGGAAGCAATTACGAAAAGTTTACATTACGAAGGTCAGTGAGGCTCCTCTGTGGAACTGGAGGGGAAACACAACCTCAAGCTTTTCAGGTTTTTGTTGGTTTGATTTGACTCTTTCTTGTCCCCTCCAGACTGACGGCTCTGTACGGGATAGAGGAAGTCCTGGGACTCCAGAAGGGCGAGACCCTGCTGGTGAATGCGGCAGCCGGGGCGGTGGGCTCCGTGGTGGGCCAGATTGCCAAGCTCAAGGGCTGTAAGGTGGTGGGTTCAGCAGGGTCTGATGCCAAGGTGGCTTTCCTCAAAGAACTGGGCTTTGACGAGGCCTTCAACTACAAGACTGTCGGTTCCATGGATGAGGCACTGAAGAAGGCTTCTCCAGAGGGATATGACTGCTTCTTTGAGAATGTAAGCAATGATGGTGTAGTTCCAGGCTCATAAAATGTTCCTGTTTATGCTCTTTTTATACATTTTTGGCTTAGCTCATCTTTTACATTCTGGCGTTCCTTACTGCTGTTTGACAAATGTGTGTGATCAAGCTTTCCAGCTGACTCTGACAGTGTGGACTAAATGTTTTAAACACCATTACTGCTATTATCTTCAGTGGTTTAAATCAGTAGTTCTCAACCATTTTGGGTCAAGGACCTCCAAACTAATACACATCAGGCTGTGAACCAAAATGTGATCGTATGTAGTCTCAGCGAAGAGTGTGAAACCTGTAAACAGAAGAGTCAATTTTATACATTCTCTCATTAGACATTGAAATAATAGTAAAGTTAAAATATTCTCTGTTTTTCTGTGGACTCCTTGGAGCCCCGTCAACTTCCTCTGGGGGTCCCTGGACCCCAGGTTGAGAATCACTGGTTAAAATGATGCTTCTTCTTATTTCAGGTAGGGGGCCCTTCTTCAAGTGTTGCCTTGCAACACATGAAGAACTTTGGGAGAATAGCCGTGTGTGGAGCCATTTCCACGTACAATGACACCACACCCCAAACAGGTGGGTACTTCCCTACTTTAATCTTCTATATCGATAGTCCTGCTGTTTTCTTCCGCTTTAACTCGATACCTGCTTGTTCAAACAAAACATTAAAACAAAATTTAAATGCATTAAAAGCTTCAAATGTTCAGATCGTTCTGTGTCTTTTTCACCAGAGGGCGACATTGTGTTAGTGAAATGCTGGAGGAGCTGTATAAACAGAGCTTTATCTCAACAGAGTTTTTTTCCATGGACCACTTACTTGTGTGTGTTGTGTTTTTTTTTTTTTCTTCAACCATCTCTCTCTCTCTCTCTTAGGCCCATACCCCCACCTTACCATGATCTTCAAGCAGCTTAAGATGGAGGGCTTCATGCAGAGCAGGTGGGAGCACAAGCACCCTGAGTCCCTCAAGAGGCTGATGGGGTGGTTGAAAGAGGTTAGTGACTGAAAAGAATTCATTATGAGGCTGGATCTCATTTAGAATTGTGTTTATGTGTGTGTCTTCAGTAAAGATTTACTCTCAATCAGTCCGGTTGCCCATGTTGATGCTTCAGTTTCTGTCATTTGTTTATTCTGCATCCGCAGGGCAAACTGCAGTGTCGGGAGCACATCACAAAGGGCTTTGAAAACATGCCAGCTGCCTTCATGGGGATACTGCAGGGAGAAAACATCGGCAAGGCTGTCGTTGCAGTCTGATGTGGAAACGCAGGATCAACGGAGAAGAATCAGTATTATTGATAGCATTACAGAATTCATACAATGAAGGACACTTACAAGTAACCAGCTGTATTTTTATACTAAAAATGTGTCCTTGTTGCTCAGTAATCACAAAGACAACATATTATGGCTGTTAGAGTTAGGATCTGAAACTATTAGTTCTTTAAAATTTAGATTGTTTGATGAAACCGGACCGTTCTGTTTCGGTTTAGTGGATTTTTGTTCAAGGCACTTTTTAAATAAATAAAGAAAACATTTTCATTTTACTTTAAAAAGTCAGGATTGGAGACATAAATCTGAACATTAACATGTTGCTAACATTGAATATTAGTTCAAATTGTGCTGCTTAATTGACACAGTTCTGACCACCGTCCAGACGACTGATCCCATATTTGAGTGTACGGTATATTATTTGGGAGAGACCAGACTGATGTTGGAAATCAGGCTGTTTAACTAAGAAAGAATAAAGGAAATGATATCTCTACTAAGACGACACAAGACTGTCATTCTGCTGTATGAGCTGACTAGATCTGCTGCGGATACATCCATGCATTATTCACTGTAACATCATAAACCAAGTACTTTGTATTTAGTGAGAGCTTTTGTATAGATAATAAAATGTCTTTTTGAAAAACTTCTGTTGACATATATCTCTATAACACTATAAATCTGGTATAAAACAGTAAAACAAAATACTATTGAAGATGTGTGCTACTTTCAATCCTAAAATGAGTAGAGTCTAGATAATAGAGCAGCCACGATTAGCCTCCTGCTGTCGAATGCTGCTTTTTGTTTGATCAGGAAATAGGCTGTATTTTTAGACACTAATTAGAATTTCATAAGGTTGTGGTGGTGATGAGAGGCCGGGCTCCATGGTTGCATATGATGCTGTTGGTCCAGTAGAATTAGCTCAAGGTTCACCCACTTTGGTGTACAAGTGTTTGCATACCTACAATACTGCCAGTTGAGCAAAGACCCAGGCCCTTATATTATTATAGATTATTATTATGTAGATTAATATATTGTTATCACAGATCAATCCCAAAACTATATTTACCATTAATGACACTCTGTGGGTCTGGGGCTTAAAAAAAAAACGTTTAATTTACACCAAATAAATAAAGTTAACACAAAATACAGACTTTTTAAATATTACTTTGTTCAGTGCTTCTACTTAAAGTGAGATTGAATTCGTTTAAATATAGTATCTGGATATTAACAGTAATATTAGTAAATATTGTGTTCAGGTTTATGAATTTAGTTGCACAGCTTGTTTGGAAAATGACCAAAATATCAAAAACATTTTATGCGTGGCACAATAAATATATGTGGAAATAAACTAACAGTAATTACGGTACCCATGTGGGAGGAAACAAAAACAGAAATCTAATAGTGATGACGTGATGACGCGATGACGCCATGACGCCAAGTCACGTACGCGACGTTGTTTGGTGGTCGTACCATAAAGGGGAGCGCCAAAGGGAATTTAACTGCGCTGACTCTGTCGTTTACGGTAAACCGAGAAACTGTCAAGTCACTGTGACAATTCGTTGCTGTTTAACTTACTGTAAATGGTTTAACCTCTTTCCGGGCATTGGAATAAAAAAAAACAAATGATACACAATAACAAATAACCATATAAAATGATGATGTAACCAAACGTACGGGCGGAGACAGACATCATGTACAGCGGCATCGAACAGCAGCCCATTCATCAGCATCAGAGCATTTCAGTGTAAAGCTACAAAACATATTAAATAAATCACAATATTACGTAACTGGCAAACTTAAAAAAAAAAATCTAAATTAGCCGTCTAAATTAGAGACAGCTTCGTGGTGCACACCGAATCAAAACAAATAATAAATGTATTGTTTATCTGTAAGGAATTATTTAGTTAAATCTCCTTTAATGGTTTCACAACCTAACAAACGCTGTGCTTTTATTTTCTAAACCCACGCACAGTCACTTCCGCTGTGGTGCGCGTGGCCATTTAAAAGGCGCCGTGTGTGGAGCGCGCGAGCACTCCCGAACTAAACCGTTAGTCGTTCAGTCTCGAGGCACGTTAACTCAACCGTCATCATGGTCCGAGAGGTAGAAAGCCTGGTGAGTCATTCATTCATTCATTCATTCACTCATTCTCTGTTTATGTTAGTAGAAGCGTAGATAGTACGATTATTAACTCACGAGCGGTTGGTGATGTGGTGTTTTTTTGGTTTTTTTTTAAGCTCGAGGACAGCCGCGTGCCTGCTTTCCTCTCTCGTGACCCGTATTAGGAGTTTATTTTTCTCGCGTTTTCTACTTTTTGTAGTTTACAAGTTAGTTTGAAGCTTCCTTTGGTTGCGATATAATATCCAGAGTAAAGTTATTTATATGTATCAGATTTAGGTTTACTGTAACGTAAAGTGGGTGACTCAGCAGCGTTACTGTTAGCCGCTAACGTGTGAAAGCCTGCTGCAGACACATTGACTGTAACGTTATATATAATATAATATAATATAATATATAATATAATATAATATATAAACACTAGTTAATGTTGCAGTGGAGATGCTCTCCGCAGCGCATTGCTAATGGAGACAACGTTGCATAATCTCAACGCAGTGTCTGTGAATGAGGCTGTGTACCGATGCTAAAGCTGTGTGTGTGTCTGTGTGTGTGTGACTGTGTGTCTGTGTGTGAGACTGTGTGTCTGTGTGTGAGACTGTGTGTCTGTGTGTGAGACTGTGTGTCTGTGTGTGAGACTTGTGTTGGTGTGTGTGTGGTGTTTTGTGTCTGTCTGTCTGTCTGTCTGCTCTGTGTGTGTGTGTGTCTGTGTGTGTGTGTGTGTCTTTATCGTTATAATAATATCTAACTCATCTTTATTGCCGGAAGCGCACGTTAAGCAACACCTTTTACAACTATTCTTTTAATGACAGCCGCAAAGGTTACATAATGTGTTTAAACATGAGTGTTGTGTTGTAGCTTTTGATGTGTGAACTGGTTTAATCTGTGCACCTGTTCTCTCCTTTCTTTTGACTTCTAACGAGTAAATGTATATTTTCAGTGTTATAGATTGTGAAATAAGGGATAAATAAATGTTTTTTTTAGCTTCAAAAGAGAGGGAGAAAGTAAGGGCAACATAGGAGGGAGTCCTCTGTCAGGAGGCACAGTGATGATACAGTTGTCTTTATACACGGGGTAAACTAAAGTAGCAGTGTTGGAAGTATAATATGGAGAATTAAGGGAGTTTTGAAGCCTGTGTAATGGTTTGGTTGTCCTATAGTGAAGCCCACGTTCAGCAAACAGCCTTTCTTCCTGTTGCACACACCTAAAGTGAAAGCTTTCAAGCATAGCAAAGGAAAAGTTGTGTTTTAAATTTTGACCCATAGACCAAATAAACTGCAAATGATGGTCATAGGATAAACTGTTGGCAACAAGTAAATCTAATTGCGTATCAACAAAGTCACTTTCCAAATATAAGCTTGATCAAAAATTCATTCATTTTCTGTAGGATGACTTCAAGGCCATCCTGAAGGAAGCCGGAGACAAGCTGGTGGTGGTGGACTTCACAGCCACATGGTGTGGCCCCTGTAAACAGATTGGCCCAATATTTGAAGTAAGTAAAAGATTTTTTCATTTGGAAAAAGGAAACCCAAAGGAAGCCACTTGATTATATGTCTGTATGAACTCGGGAAAGAAACGTGCGCTTGATGATGGGCACAAAAAGTAATCTTTTCCAAACTGGAATAATTTTAAGCCCAAAAAAAGCCAAGAAACACTGTTGGTCACTTTTCTAAATCTGGATATGAGGTTCACCATAGTTGCAGCCTTTAGTCTGTTTGTTAGTTTAAGGGAGTTCTTTCCTGAGGGATACGTGTTGCTCGAGGGCAGCAGCTGTAGTATCTCTGTGGAGAAGGGAGGCTGTTGCTCTGGAAACTTCTTGTCAAGCTGTTCCAACTTCAAGTAGGAAGTATCCGGATTTCTGGAAAATTTGACTGTACACAACTTGAATAAATAATACAACTGAGATGTTCTCCTCTTAGACTTTTTTCAAAATGAGGAACTGAAATGAATATATTGTACATCTGTGTGTAATGCCTCGGTGCTCATTGATTAACCGTCTTGCAGGAACAGTCGTTGAAGCCTGAGAACAAGAATGTGATTTTCCTGAAGGTGGACGTAGATGAGGCTGAGGTAAGTGTCTGTTTTCCCTGTTTTTTTTTTAACCAGTAGGTTTACTATAACTGCTGCTAGTACAGAGATCTCAACACGCACCATTACACATACAGTGATTTATGTGTGTGTGTGTGTCAACCCATATTTATATTTATATTATAACCCATATTTGAGCTGCAGTATTCTGTGGGGGTTACCATGTGTAAAATACTGAAAGCAATGTGAACTAGTCATGAAATCCATTTCCCCAGGCCATGTGGAACCACAGCTGGCTCATGTGACCAAAGGGCAGAGTTTTCTGTTTCAGTGCTACAACATTGTGAAATGAGAGTAAACCTTGCTTGATTTAAAATCTGGGATGAAAAAATCAAAATGAATGTGTGAGCCTTTTTAACATTAACAGAAGAGGGAGACCACTGATATGGTGGCTTATTGTAACCACATGCGGTAACCCTCTGACACACATTGTGATATAAGGACTATGTTTACATATGTAGGGCATCCAGCTGTTGGCTGCAGGTAGTATCTGATCTGTGAAGCTGTTAACATGAACCTTGAAACCCTCTTTGATTCTCCCTGGAGAGACTGTATGGGCATGTTATACCTCCCACTACATTCCTGTTACATTCCCAAACAAGTAACCTTAAGAACCCAGTTCATAATCTTACCTTTAAAGTTATTCTGAACCAGTTAAGTTAAAATACTTTGGACCTAAAATCCTGCTACTTGGAGCTGTTCAAAGAACATGTTTACAGAATTACCTGGATAAACTTACAGGCCTTCCATATCTTATGTGAAGCAAGTCTGGTAAAATTCCACTATTTGATTTTGCTGTACTGCTTCCTTGAGGGGAGGCTAGGCTACAGATATATCTGACTTAATTTAATATTAATATCTTAAATCGGTGACCTTACAGTTCATACTGAATGCTTCACACATGTATTGGTCTCTTAAGCTCATGGATGTTTGCTTGAACAGTCCTCAGTCAGGCTGTAGGAGTGTTGTTTTTGACTCGGCCCATCTCACTGTTTTTCCCTTTGCTCTTTTTTTCAGGATGTGAGTTCATCCTGCAATATAAGTTGCATGCCCACATTCCAGTTTTACAAGAATGGAGAGAAGGTAAGGATTGCATAAAAATATACAGCTAATATAGAAACATGTACATATTATGATAAAAGTTGTAACATTTGAGCAAACAAACCCAGCCGATATTGAGCAATATTTGCATTTATGTAGTCATGATTTTAGTGCCCCAGGACCAGATTATCATAGTTTTTAAAAATGTGAGGATACAGCCATTTCATACAATGTGCATTCAACCCACATTGGACCCGTCTCTTCTGGTTAAAACGTTAATTAAACCTCCAAATGTGCCGTTATAGCCAGATCAGTGCACCCTGGTAGCACACCTGCTAGAGCTTCCTGCAGCAGCTAGGGTTCGAGTATAGCCCACAGCACTTTGGTGCATGCCACCTCCTCTCTTTCTCTCCTCCCAGTTTCCTGTCTCTACAATAAAGGCAAAAAGAGCTGGAGGAAAAACAAACCCTGTAACCAAATCACGCATACAAATTGCCGTCAAGTGTCACTGTGCCGTGGCAGTAATGGCATTTACCTTCTGAGCGCTGACAGGCTGATCGGTTACTTGGATTCAATGGGGCACTTGGAAAAATAATGGACTTATTAAGCAGACAACAAAGCAAATACTTGTGTGGTCTATGGTTTTCCCCTTTACCAGAATACAGGCTTTCTGTTTTCTTTTAAATGTTTTTCTAATATCTGGTTTTAGGAGGTGCTGCAGCCTCCCTTTACAATGTCATGGAAAATTAGGGGGTGTTGACTATCACAACAAATGTATCCGTTAACAGTTGCTGGTTAATCTGACTCAGCACTTGTACAAGCAAACCTCACCGGAGGGGGCGGGAGGAAAGAGGTTTAGGACAAACTTGTTAGTCTTCACGAGAGTGGAGTTTGAGTTTGTGGGCTGTAAAAAAAAAAAAAAAAAAAAAAATAAAATATTTATTCCAAGCGTATACTACTAAGCCTGTATGATTGCTGCTGTTGTATGGCCTGGCTCAGGTTAAAGCCTTTGTCAGAGTAGGGAGGGTCATGACTTAGAATAAATGGCGTGGTATGGGATCATTGCAGGGACACAAATACTTGATACTTGAGGAATTTCTAATCCTGGAATCAACTGTAGTTCACAGCCATTTGATCCATATATAAATAAATAGACTTTGTATCATTGGCTTTTATTTTGTTCTTATTAAAGTTGTAACCCTCTGTCTGTTGTGTCTTTCAGGTGTTCGAGTTCTCTGGTGCAAACACAAATACGCTGTTGGAAAAACTGGTAGCTTTCAGAACATAAGAACCATAGTAGCCACCGCTGCCCTCTGTACATGCTGTGCTAAGAAATCCCAGTTTCATTTTCTGTACAGTAACTATCAGGTTTCCTGTTGGTGACATACTGTAGTCGTGTTAGTTCAGTGTATGTATGTAGCGACTGTCTTAACAAACTGAAATTGAACTAAAACCTGATGACTACTTTTTAATTCTGTTTTTATATGAGGAATTGGCTTTGATCTCAACTAACTTTCTTTGTTACATTATGTGTACAACATTGTGGATTTAATAAATGAAGATGAGCTACAGGAACTTTTGTACTCCTGATTCACTTTTGAATTCATAAAGCACGACAGGAACTGACTTTGATACACCGACAATTTCCTGCCAGAGCAAAGGATCTGATCAAAAGAGAGCAGTTAATGGTATTTTATGCTTTAATAAAAATGTGAGAATAGTTTACACATATACATTGAACAATCACATCAATAGTTTTTACACATCGTACAAGTATATAGCAGCATATGTTTAATACTGTTGAGTCTCTATATGAAAAAATACAGCTTTATTTTACAAAATGGTTCTTGCTTTGCCTTTTGCAGAGAGATGAGAATGAATGGTTTACAAGTGAGCCAGTTAACTATACAAGAATTCCCTTCATAAGACGATTCACATGGAGCTGAGTGGAACCTTTTTTTTAGAAGTGATAGTATCCTGATTTCCTTTTCCTGCAAAGAGAAGGGAGGAGAAATGGTATTTAGTCTTAATCTGTGGCTCTTTTTATAAACCTTTTCTTTCCAAAAAAAGGTTCACTACATGTGATAAAAGTGCAAGAACCCATGAGTTAAATCAGACTTGATTACTGAGGTTACATTTGTCTGATCATTTATTTCATAATGCCACCTTTATTATTTCAGAGTTGTTGTTTTTTTCCCCATTCTCAGAAATGAGTCTTTTCCAAGTTAAGAATGACTCATAACTGAAGGAAAACAACCGTATGCGTAACTCAGGTTTAATCATATTCGAGACCAGATGTTGACAGTTTGGTTCCTGGCTGCCTGAATGCTGAACTTATGAACTCTATCTGAATCTATTTCAACACCATTAACAGACAGTTAGTGCTCATCCTCCGCATTTAGGAGTCAGAGTTTCACTTTCATTCCAGCATTTACTGGAGAGCTTCATTACGTGTGATCATATTTCTATTACACTAGCTGAACTGTATGTAACTTGAGCTGATGATGCACAAGGCAGGCATGTGTTTACACACTACAGTATCTTGGTTTCACTAAGAGTGCTCAAGCTAAGAGAGAATACTAAGAATATATAGATTAATGTATAAGAATAATAAGAGTTTATCCAGGTTTCTGAGCGCAGGATATGATGCCAACAGGCCCAAACACATAACCGGGATACTAACACAGCATTTGATACGCCATCTCTCTCCGTCTTTTAGTGGAAGTTATCAAGTATAGGAAAATAAACCTGATATGTGTCTGGTCCTCTGAGGGGGAAATTTGCATCTTACTTATTTCCTCCCGTAAGATTGGTGACTGCACAGAACGTCCTCATGGCTACACTGAACGTATCTTGGGACAACGACCGGCAACAACATGGAGAGGAACGTAAAATACCTCACTAGTAATTTATAGTGCTAAATAACGTAGTTTACTGTAATGCCTGGAATCATTCTGAGCAAGCAACAAAGAGCTTGATAGATTCATCCCTTTATGATAAAACGGCGGACAGCGGATGACTCATTAAACCGTGGGACTCCTCATGAAGCTCATTTGCTTAGTTCAAGCATCGGTTTGTATCCACCCACAGTTTGGATAGTGAACGAAAGAGAAGAGTGGGAGCAGAGGGCTCGTCCTGTGTGACCGCAGTACGCACGATGGAAAACAAACAAATACATCCCATAAATGTTTGAATTTCTAATAAATACGTGAAAGTAACAGGATATTAAAGTGTTAAAAGAGTGCAAATGTACAGAACTTGTTCCTAGTTTTTCAACAGGTACAGATAATAAAGTATGCAATTTATATACTAATAATTAATTTTAAAAAATCATTTATATACATATCTAGCTGTATATAGCAGTCCATTAAGTCAATTCACACTAATATTTGTCACTATAATTATTATTCAAACCATTATTTTTTTAGTTTTAGAATTTCATCTGTATCTGAAAAACAATCAAAGGAGTTTTTTTTTTCTGTCACCTGGAGCAGTCGTGTCCGCTCCAGCCTGGACTGCAGTGACATCTGTTCGGCCTGATGCATCTGCCTCCGTTCAGACAAGGTGATGAACACACCGCTGTGGACAGACAGACAGACAGACAGACAGACAGACAGACAGACAACACACATGAAACGCAGCACAGTCATTACTGTGAGTACAGGCTTGTGCTCGTGAGGAAGCAGCACAGAGAAGTTCAAGAAGTCCCAAGAAAGAGGATATACGCCACCTATCATCATCTCAACATATATTTTAAATTCTAAAGAGATTTATTTAGTTTACATAAAAATAAAAAGTTTACAATGTAGGTACCACTCACAAACAAAATATATTTGGAAAACTATTTTGGTGGAACTACAATTTAAAGGAGTGCTGCCTCATCTGCTCAGTGTTTGTTTCGAGCTCTCAGAGCACAAAACCAGTAACACACAGACAGATGGTAAAGTGCTCACTCTTTTCTCCTTGATGCCATCCATTGATTAACGGTCATTAACACTCAATCATATTTGTCCATATGATCATTAAATGCTTTGATAGACAAATCATATATTGATATAAAAACAAAAAAAAAGTGTCCTGTTTCCAGTCTTTCTCAAACACACAAACACATTGCCAAATAAACCACTACTGTTTGGTTTATATTCCAACCATATTTGTTTTTATGTGTTCAATTTTTTTTCAGTTTTAGTGAGTAAAATTTACACTTTGGCGGCCAAGACAATTTCTATTCTTTTCCATTCTGCACATTAACAAACATTGCTGTAAATGTCAAAATGCTATTGTAACAGGTGTTACACTGTCACCCTAAAAAGAATATAAGATTACAATTTTAATGATAATACTTCATAAGCATGCAGTGTATTAAAAGTATATTAATTCTAGTAAAGCAATCATGCAGGACGTCATTATGGTACATTGTTATTTACCAACAACTCATAAAGAAGAAACAATGGCGTCACACAACCCTCAGTGGCGTCGTTATGGGACAGCACATTGAGAGCAAGGATTCCCTTTACGTCACCGTCATTATCACCCTGTGTCACCGTGCTATTAATGCACACAGTAGGTGAACAGCTTCACTGACTCGCACATGAACTCACCGCTGTGACAGCGTGTGCCCGTCCACCCACTGGGACACTCGCACTGGTAGGGCGCCACGCAACGGCCTCCATTGAGGCACGGCAGGATGCAGATAGCTGTTATTAAAGAGGAGAGTAAACAGGAAATCATTTAAGGTCATCAGTCTCGTCTCTCTTTGTTGAAATCTCAAACATTTGATTGAAGATCTTTGTACTGATGAAAAAAGTCTTTATGCAACCATGTGACTGCATAAAGAGGGAAGTCACTTTAATAGTTGTATTTTAAAGCCCCAGTCTGTAGATTTAAGTACAATAATGTGCAGTAAAGTTAAATATGATGATGTATATTTTTAAATAAGGTGATTGTTTAGTCTATTAGGGACATCTTCAAATTGCTTGTTTTAACCAACAAAACTAAAGATATTAAATTTACAATATAAAACGAATAAAAGCAGCAAATCCTCACATTGGAGAAGCTGGATTCGGTGAATGAATGTGTGTGTTGACTCTGGCTTTTGAGTTCAACTCGACTAAGACATCTTATTTTAGTGTGTTAGCATGCTAACATATGCGTAGATGAGTAGATATTTCAGCTGATATTTGAAAACTTTGCCGGCCCTGGGGAAAAAGTCCGAGGGTTCATCCTCTGGGCACCATGAATATCTGTCTGACCCACACAACATCCATGGAGCCACGCTGCTGGCATGGCCACAAAATAATTTCCTTCAGTGGCTGAATTATGTTAATCAGAGTATTTAAAGGCGTTTCAATCAATTTGAGAGCAGTTTCCAATCTTATCTTTAAATTCTTGATTCTTGAATTATTGTTTCTTTAACTTCTGTGTCTAGACAAAATGTCTACAAAAGGTTGGACAGTGTTTTGGTTAGAGTGCAGAGAATGAATGACAATAACTCTCTCAATGCTTTCCACTCTATTATCTCTGGACCCTCTTTGTGCTCCATTGTCCGCTAAAACCTGCTTAGCAAGCTGGTTGGATTCCCGTGTGTTAGTGAGTTTGAGTTTGAGTACACCCTTAGGATCATGTTCTGGGCTTTAATTCAGTGTCAACAGAGTTCAACTGAGCGATATTTGGCGATTAAATACTTACGCTCCTCACAAAGTCGGCCCATCCAGCCCTCTGGACAGGAGCAGGTGTTGGGCCGCTGACACACACCTCCGTTCTGGCAATGCAGCCAACACACCGCTGAGAGAGAGGACACACACACACACACACACACACACACACACACACACACACACACACACACACACACACACACACACACACACACACACACACACACACACACACACACACACACAAACGCATATCAAAGACACATTTTTCACACACAGAGAGCTGATCATATTAAATCTTGCTTCCGGTGAAATAAAAGAGAAACAACACTTAGAGGTTTTCCTGCCTCCAGAACATATAGTGCAACCTTTTAGCCGTGCAACCTCATGCACTAGAACAGAGGCAGCATTCACACACACTGCAGATTAAATTCCTCAGTACAAACTTAAGAAACCGCCTGAATGTGTGTGTGTGTGTGTGTGTGTGTGTGTGTGTGTGTGTGTGTGTGTGTTTCTGTGTGTACATGTAGACCGGTATGTGCACAAACTCAGCAGCTGTTGAGGAAAGGCTAGCCTGGATCCAGTCCTTGTTTTCATGTAAAACATGGGAGAGGTTATTTTAATTTCATGATGCAGGCAGTGGTTTCTCTTCCAAATTTCTATTGGTCACCTTTTTTAAAAACAAATGTACTATAAAGGAGCTACTGAAGAAAGTATATATTGATTGTTAAAATCTCTACTGATCAATATCCATCTGTGGTGTTTAATGCTTCAGTGCGAGAATCAGTGATTTCCAGGAACATTGTTTAGCAGGAGAGTCAACTTCCTGTTTTACGTGATTTCAAACTAGCCAGCTGTCAGTTGGGAAATGTATATATTTTCCTCTCCAATAATGGTTTTCTCACTTAAAGACAGTTA